TTCCCTCAGGACTCTGGGATGCATCTCATCGGGACCCATAGACTTATGGATGTTCAGGTTCCTCAGGTGGTCGTGAGCCTGATCTTCTCTCATAGTGGGAGGAACTTTTCCCCCTGATCCCCGTCAAATGGCCCATTGAATTGGGTGGTGTGAGGAGAGAGGCTGCCAGTGAAGATGGAGGCAAAAAAGTTGTTGAGCACCTCAGCCTTCTCCTCATCTGTTGTTACCAGCTTGCCAGTTTTGCTCATCAGAGGGGGTACGCTTTCTTTAACCTTTCTTTTCTGGTTGACGTACCTGTAGAAGCCCTTCTTATTATTCTTTGCATCCCTTGCCAGGTTCAGCTGCAGCCAAGCCTTGGCCTTCCTGACCCCATCCTTACACATCCGGGCAGTGTCCCTCTACTCTTCCGAAGATACCAGTCCCTTCTCCCACTGCCTGTGTATTCTCTTCTTGCTCTTTAGTTTGACCAAGAGGTCATAGCTCAGCCATGCCGCCCTCTTCACTTCCTTGCCTGATTTCTTGCACCTGGGGATCAAGAGCTCTTGTGCTCTATGGAAAGCGTCCTTAAAGATCTGCCAGCTAAATAGAATAGAACAGAACAGAACAGAATAGTTCAGTAGGGAGGGATGTACAGTGATCATCTAGTCCAACTGCCTGAGCACTTCAGGGCTGCCCACAAGTTAAAACATGTTATTAAGGGCATTGTCCAAATGTCTCTCAAACACTGACAGGCATGGGGCATTGAGCACCTCCCTAGGAAGCCTCTGCCATGCTTGACTACCCTCTCTGTAAAGAAATGCTTCCTAATGTCCAGTCTAAACCTCCCCTGATGCAGTTTTGAGCCGTTCCCACGCATCCTGTCACAGGACACCAGGGAGAAGAGATCAGCACCTCCCTCTCCACTTCCCCTCCTCAGAAGGCTGTAGAGAGCAATGGGGTCGCCTCTCAGCCTCGGGTCGCCCCTCAGCCTCCTTTTCTCCAAACTTGATGTCCTGGTTTCGGCTGGGATAGAGTTACTTTTCTTCCTAGTAGCTGGTACAGTGCTGTGCTTTGGAGTTTGGGTGAGAATAATGTTAATAACACACCGATGTTTTGGTTCTTGCTGAGTACAGTTTAAACTAGTCAAGGACTTTTCAGCTTCCCGTGCTCTGCCAGGTGCACAGGAAGCTGGGAGGGGGCACAGCCAGGACAGCTGACCCAGACTGGCCCAAGGG